CTAGCTGCTATAGAGCGCTATGTAGACTATGACAGTCGCTATGGGGTGCTATATAGCAATTTATAGCTTAATACACCAGCTATATAGCAATGCATAGCTCATAGTGACGTCCATATAGCACCCATAGCTTTGGATATATGTCTATATAGCACCCATAGTTTTGGTACATACTTATATAGCAACTATAGCAGACTTTCCAACTCACACTATGTTATGATCTTCAGTGGTTTTGGGGTAATAGTCAGCCTGTACAGTGAAGTATCAGTGCACAGTATCATATAAGCTTATATATAAACATTAACTATAACACAGTACACTAGGATCAATGTGGACTTAGCAGAAATTTGGGTTTGGACCGGCGGTCACATGACCAATGATGCCGCGGCCGCGTCGACACCGACCAACGGTCACGTGACCAATGTTTGACGTAGCCACAGCCCAACACAAGTTCATGACACCCTGTCCACGCCCCTGCCCCCGCCCTTCCCACCCTCAACAAGCCGCGACCTCGCCGTCTCCCCCGTCAACGAGCCTGGCGCGGCTCCCACCCCATCCCGCGCCTGCCTTCGACCAGCCCCGAGCCCGAGCCGCCAATGCGGTTGGGCTCGGCCTCGCCTCCCACCCCCGCGCGTGCCTCTGACAGCCCCAAGCCCCAGCCGCTGACGCGGTCAGGCTCGGCCTCTCGCCTCCCGCCCCCCTTCAACAGCACCAAGCCCGAGCCGCCAACGCGGTCAGGCTCGGTGTTGCCTCTGCCTCTGCCCCCGCCCCCACCTCCACCTATGTAGAAGTTTGTTTGTATTATATGCTTACGTAAGCTGGCCAGTAGCACTAGTAATGTAATGTAGCGCTAGTCCTGTAATACTGTATACAGTTATATGCAATCCAATTTTTTTTTTCAAAATCAAACATTTTAGTTTAATCATGGCATTTACTGAGCATATGATGACTACCAAATTGCCATAGTGTCTGTAGTGCCCATAGCATTGGCTCTGTGCTATATAGTCATGGCAGTGTGATCTATAGCACCCATAGCACTTTATAGCACTGGCAGGTACCTCTATAGCAACTGCAGGCAGCTCCATAGCAACCATACAAATTGACATTGCTATGGAACTATAGATGCTATATTGGACTATGTAGTGCTGTATAGTCATGGGATTTTTCTCAGATGCTGATTTAAATCTTCCAAAGCTTTAAAGCAAAGGTCCATGTTGGATGGCAGTCTTTAAATACAAATGATGATGTACTACTCAGCCTGTACAGTGAAGTATCAGTGCATAGTATCATATAAGCTTATATATAAACATGAACTATGGCACAGTACTAGGGTCAATATGGACTTAGCAAAAATCAGGTTTGCACCAGCGGTCACGTGACCAATGTTGACATGGCCGCATTGACACCAACCAATGGTCACATGACCAATGTCTGACATGGCCACAGTCTGTTGACAAGCTGCAACCCCACCACCTTCCCCTGTTAATGAGCCTGGTGTGGCTCGTCGAGCTTCCCCGCCTCTGCCTCCTCAACCAGCCCAGCCCGGCTCGTCGAGCCCTCACCTGTTAACCAGCCCTGAGCGCGAGCTACCAATGTGGTTGCGCTCAGCATCACCTCCCGCCGCCCTTTGACCAGCCTGGGTGCAAGCTGCCAACGCGGTCGCGCTCGGCCTTGCCTCCCTGCCCCCCACCGCCCTTTGACCAGCCACAAACTCGAGCTGCCAACATGGTCGGGCTTGCCATTGTCTCCCACCCCATTGCCCACCTTCGACCAGCCACAAGCCTGAGCTGCCAACATGGTTGGCCTCTCGCCTCCCACCCCCCTTTGACCAGCCCCGAGCCCAAGCTGCCAATGCAGTCGGGCTTGGCCTCACCTCCCAACTCCCGCCTCCCTTCAACAGCACCGAGCCTGAGCCGCCAACGTGGTCAGGCTTGGCATTGCCTCCCCTGTCCTCGCCTGTTGCCTAGCCCCTTGATGAGCCCCACATGGCTCATTGATTACCTTGTCCCCACCTCCACCTCCACCCTCGCCTCCCCCTCTACCTTTGCTGCCCCCGCCCTTAGCCTGGTGAGGCTTGTTGAACAAGCTCGCTGCCTCTGCCTCCATCATTTGACGTATGGTGTGGCTTGTTGAAATGCCTCGCCACCTCCACATAAGGTTTTGTTCGTATGGAATACTTATGTAAGCTGGTGGGATGTTCATCTAGCACTAGTAGTGTAATATTGTAGATGGTTGTTATGCAATGCAAATATTTGCTTTCAAACATTATTGATATATTCATAAGTATTTTAGTTTTTTGTCTGATTAATCATGGCATCCATTGAGCAAATAATGACTACCAAATTGCCATAGTGTCTGTAGTGCCCATAGCATTGGCACTGTGCTATATAGCCATTGCAGCGTGATCTATAGCACCCATAGCTGTCAGAGCACGGGCTGGAGCTCCTA